TTTCGTCGTCGTCATTTAGCACATCATATGCTTCGTTGATCTGATTGGTTTATTTGGCCCGTCTATCACCAACATAGGCCAATCAGCTAACCAGTATTTTCGCCCCTTCCCAAAATTACTTAAACGGAAGGTTTCCAGATGGATATGCGGAGCAAATCCATCTGACAGTTATTCAAAATGACTCTTCCCAGTCAAACGCCAGTTGAATGGCAGCACACTTCCCTGCAACTCCCAGCAGATTCCCCGCCACTTCCAGCCCCCTCCTGCATATTTTTTTTACTCTGACTCCATCCTGTCACTGAATTAAGGGTCTGATCAGGATATGACGCTGCTCTTTAGATCTTAATGTCCACAAATCATGACAGAAAGAATATTTTAGTACAAAGATTGATGTTTAAAAAGGAATTGTCCAGCCAAGGGCTATCAAGGAAAGTGGGGAAATTTTGAATGGCTACTACTGTATGTTGAGCTGTAGAGTACCACAGCTCAGGTGGACAGGACAACTGTTACCTTTGATAACTTCAATTATGGTGGTTGGACTGCATACAAATCCTGTTTCATTTGGAGGAAATGTAGAGTTCATGAAGTACTAATAGTAAGTGTTGGACAAATGTACCACAGCAAATCATATCTGCTTCTCCTCAGGCCCGTGTATACTATGAAGAAGCTCTGGGTGTCTCTGTTGACAGTTTCTCTGATGTCCCACTGCTCGTGGCTCTCTTCACAAACCTCACTGCCATCTACCTTAAGCAGCGTATGAATGACAAACTGCCCCAAACCCTGGAGAAGGCTGGTGCCCTGATACTCTGTCTTCCCCGACATGCCTTCACGTCCACAGATGAAGTGGAACTCCTGAAGCTTCTGCTGAGGAGATCCGTCGTATTGGGGGACAAACTTTTGGAGGCTCGCGTCTGCTACCTCATTTCTAGCCTCTTTTTACTTCTTAAGAAGACTGAGGATGCACTACCTTTCTTAGAAAGACTTCAGTTTCTTAATGTAACATTATCGGCCGCTGAAGGGGGACCGATTGCACCTTTGGACCTTAACTGGCTCTTGAGCTGGCTCTATCATCGTAAATACATGCCTCACTTGGCTCTGGCTTCCCTAAGCCTGGACTCAAGAGAAGACCATTCACTTCAGCATGCCTTCCAGAGGATCGAGTTGTTCATCAGGAACTCTGTCCGTCTGAATCCGAGCTGGAAAGAAGGAACCTCCCTTCTTCCTGCGCAAATAGTGGTTTACCTCCAACAGGCCTTAGCTGTAGCTGAGCAGAGTGATGATATAAAGATGCAGAGGGACCTTTGTTTGGGTTTGGCATTGACCTACCAGCAATATGGCGCACTGGATAAAGCTGTACGCTGCGCTCAACAAGCTGTGGAGACAGGAAGTCATATCAATGAAGAAGATGGCTTTGAGGCATCAGTGCTACTTGGTTGGCTGCTGGTGTTGACAGGTCAGGCTGAAAGAGCTCAAAATATTTTACAGCCGCTGCTCACATCACTACAGGTGAGAAATAACATCGGCGATGAAAAAGATATGGCCTAAAGTGTCTAGAATCTTTTATCACTGTCTTTATTTGAAAATAGAGCACGGATAGTCCCACTCAGCGAGGAGTCATCCATAATCTGTTAGCTTTATGCCTGAGGCATCAGAATCGGGTCCGAGAGGCAGGCTGGCACCTCCACTCTGCCCTGCTGATCTCCAAAGAGAGCGGAAACCAAAGGAACCAGGCTCTGGCACTGGCTAACCTGGGCTGCCTCGCTCTGGATGCTGGAGCATCCCTCCTCGCAGAGCGATTCCTGGTTAGGTGAGTGTTTTATCTCTCCATGAAATATGTCAGGGTTATGGTGAAGTAAAGTTTGAAGTCTACTGGGTGAACAGGAGGGTGCACCCTGGACAATTTAATACGGCAAATCAGTGTTTCCTATACGTACTTTTCCCTCATTCTAGGTCCCTGTGTCTTTTTCTGGATCTTTGGGAGAGTCCAACAGATGAGGAACACGTTCAGGCCTATCTTTGGCTTGGGCGGAGCTACAAGGACAGAGGAAAGAGTCAGGACATCAGGGCATGCTATGAGATGGGGTTGCTAATTGCACTGCATGCCAGAAATTTGCATAGTAAGTATGAAGATGTAA